GTCTGGAACTCGTTCATCGGTCTCCACTCCCCAGCGTGAAATCGCTTCTTCTGTCACTCAGTCGTCAGGGGGCGGGATCTGTCGCACTATCCTATCAGGGCCGCGGGGCGGGTTCGCGGGAACTGTCAATCAGGCGCCCTGCAAGGAGGAGGGTGCGAGGTTGACGAAGCTGGTGGCGTCTTCACGCCACTTCGCTGGGCTCCTGTCTCTGTCGCTGAGAGGCACTCTGGAGAGTCTTTGGTAGCCTCTGTCACACAAGGACCTGCAGTGGTCGTGGGAGCCGCGGAGAGGACCCCGGGACACGGAGGAATTCGGAAAATGGTGAGCGTGAGGGGCCAGGGATCCCGAGACGGGAGGAGGGGCTGGTTGGAACTGGCCGTGGCGGGACACCGGGCTCCCTACCCCGACTCCGGGCTCTGTGGACCGCAATTCCCCTGGCGCAGCTCGGCCCTCGGTCCCCTCGGCCGCAGGGTGGGGCTGGGCCGGCAGCCGGGACCCCGGGCGTCCTGTCCCGTTCCTTCGCGGTGACTGTGGCCCCGGCCCCGGAGCCGTCTCTAGGCAGCTCCGCGCCCGCAGCCCCGCGTCTCCCCAGATAATGCGGGGGCCACGGGAGGATCATGGGGGGAAATTCCGACTCGTGTGTGGGGTTCGTGCGTGGAAGGAGCTACGGTCTGAGGTCCCCAGTGCTTTATTACTTTATTCCTTCTTTAAACCAAATATAAAATTCTAAGCCCCCCAATCATTTTGAACAGATCCCTCCTCCTGGCGAAGGGCGCTACAAAATTAACCTGAAAAAACTTGTTCAGGCCATCATGGAAGGGTGGTCCGTGTATTAGTCTGTTCTCACACTGCTAGAAAGATACTACCTGAGACTGGGTAATTTATTATTTTTAAAAGGTTTTAATTGACTCACAGTTCCTCATGGCCTTAGGAAACTTACAATCATAGCAGAAGGGGAAGGAAGGCAGTCTTACATGGCGGCAGGAGGGGGACAGAGAAGCCGGGAGCCCAGACACTTATCCAGCAACCAGATCTCGTGAGAACTCTCTTATCAGGAGAACAGCATGGGGGAAACCACCCCGATGATCCAATCACCGCCCAGCAGGTCCCTCCCTCAACATATGGGGATTACAATTCCTGCAAGCAGGCTCTATGGCACAATAGCCTAAATCGAAAGGATTACAATTCCAGATGCGATTTGGGTGGGGACACAGTCAAACCGTTTCAGCTGGACGTGCCCCATTATACTGGCCTCCCTTTTGCAATCCAGGAAAAGCCTATCAGTATTAACATCAACACAGAACTTAAGTCTGATAAGAGGCATTTACAAGCTATTCTCTCTGAGGTCTACCACCTGGAGGCTTCATCTGCGTGATGAAACTTTGGTCTCTACAACCACTTATGGGAAAATCTACCTGTGACCTGGGAACCAGCCCCTCCCCCCAACTTTGTGTTGTCCCTCATTTCCACACGGACCCAATGTACCTCTTACATGTATTGACTGATGTATTGTGTCTCCCCAAAATGTATTAATATAAAAGCAAGCTGTACCCCAACCACCTTGGACACGTGTGGTCAGGACCTCCTGAGGCTGTGTCACGGATGCGTCCTTAACCTTGGCAAATAAACTTTTTTTTTTTTTTTTTTTTGAGACGGAGTTTCGCTCTTCTTGCCCAGGCTGGAGTACAGTGGCACCATCTTGGCTTGCTACAACCTCCGCCTCCTGGGTTCAAGCGATTCTCCTGCCTCAGCCTCCTGAGTAGCTGGGATTACAGGTGCGCACCACCACACCCGGCTAATTTTTGTATTTTCAGTAGAGACGGGGTTTCACCATGTTGGTCGGGCTGGTCTCAAACTCCTGACCTCATGATACGCCCGCTGTGATCTCCCAGAGTGCTGGGATTACACCTTGGGAGCCACCACACCCAACCTAAACATTTTTTTTTTTTTTAAACAGAGTGTTAATTGGTTATCCTCTGCTTTCCTCACACATGAAATGTTCATGAACATAAGGGAAAACACTTTTAAAAAGAGCCATTGTTTATGGCTCTTAAGTTTATGCCTCTCTTTTATCTTCCCTGGGCACAGGCACTTTATTAGAATGTCTTTGGGTTGAGGTTCTCCTTTGAAAATTTTACGGGGTGATGTGTCCTCAGCCCATCTTCTATCTTTTCGTGGTGGTGTATTTCAGAACTGCCTGGGCTGGCATAAGGTGCACACAGCAGCTTTGTCTAGGAGGGTTTCATGAATATCAGTTCCTGGTCACTTCTCCCATAGGGAGAGCCAGAGATGTAGGGGTGAGGGGTCCCAGGGCAGAAGCTGGAAGCCCTGGGATGGGAGGAGTCTCCTGGTTTACCCTTCATACCACAAGCAAAGCCCTTGGGACACAGCTCTTCTCACCCCGAGTGTAGTTTCCATTTCATGGAGACACATGCCTGGTCAGCCACTCAATTGCTGGTATTGAAGGGAAAGGATTGAAATGATCCCTGTTCTTTGGATTCTCTTAGCCTAGTTGTTCCCGGACCAAACAGTGGGGCTGGTTATTCTCAAAGCCCAATAACAAAATGCAAATGAACTGGGGAAGAAGAGAATTTTTATTTCTGTAACCAGTTACAGGGAGAAGACCTGGAAATTATCACCAGCCCAACTCAAAATTACCAAGTTTTCCAGAGCGTATATACCTTGTAAGCCATATGTCTACATGTAAGTGTGCATTCATCTAAACACATAAGTGATTAACTTCTTCTAATCTATAACTAAGATCTGAGTCCTGAAGACCTTCCTCTGAAACCTCAGTAAATTCATTTAATCTAAATGGGTCCAGGTGCTGGGGTGATTACCCTTATCTTGTCTCCTGCTAAATCATGGAGGTTTGGGGAATTTCTTAGACCCCCAGTAAACCTGTTTGTGGAGGCCGGGGGAGTTTCTTCAGACCCCCACTAAAGCTTGTTGGGTCCCATTAAGAATGCTTTCGTTATCTTGTCATGTTTCAAGGCCCAGGAAAGGCCTAGGCAAAACTCTTGGTGGGTTTTCGTTACATTCCAGCCTTTGTTTAGAGGCATTGGCTGTCTCAACTTTTAATGTTTAACTTAACCACTCAGTCAGTGCTGAAACAGTTGTTATGGAGGCCTGTGTTAGTGAGACCTGGCCTGCCACATAGTGAAGGGTAAAAACTGACCCTAAGGAAAGGAAAGCCCACCCCAATGATGTGGTACAAGAACCTCAAAAGCACACAGTGCAGTGTCTCCTGGGAGGGTGGTCACTCAGCACTTCGTGAGCAGCATGGGAAGGGGTGTATCTCAGGTGATAGGAGAACCTGACCTGATACTTGAGTCAGACTTGTCTGTTTTCAGTTAGCACTGCCCCTCCATGGATTTGTCACCTTGAATAAATCTGTAAACTCATTTCAGATTTACTTTTTTATTATAAAATGTATCCTGTCATTAGAGATAGAGGGAAAACAAGAGGGAAGAGTTGGATTTCAGGAAACAAATTACATATTTAGTCCTATATTGCTCTTTTTTTTTTTCTCTCTTTTTTTTTTTTTTTTTTGAGATGGAGTTTTACTCTTGTCGCTCAAGCTGGAGTGCAGTGGCGTGATCTTGGCTTACTGCAACCTCCGCCTCCTGGGTTCAAACAATCCTCCTGCCTCAGCCTCCTGAGTAGCTGGGATTACAGGTGTCTGCCATCACACCTGGCTAATTTTTGCATTTTTAGTAGAGACGAGGTTTCACCATGTTGGCCAGGCTAGTCTCGAACTCCTGACCTCATGTGATCCTCCCACCTTGGCCTCTCAAAGTGCTGAGATTACAGGCGTAAGCCACTGCGCCTGGTCTTCATTTTTTAAAAATCTTACTCCCCCCCCCCCCAGAGCCTGTGTAGTAAATTTCTCAGGTCTGTTTTTTTATTGGATGATTTCAAGTGAAATTTGAGGGCTTAGCAGAGAAAATACTAGGAGGGAAAATAATTTGAGAAAACCTGTTTTCCATTATGGCTGCAGAAAAAAAATGAATATATTTTCATGAGAAAGTGTCGGAGGTACATCAATGAATTACAAAGACTCATCAAAACTTCGGTTCCTCTCCTTTATAGGGTAGAGAATTTGGGTCAATGGGTTAACTTTTTTTGTTCCTTTTATGTGCACCTGACAGATTAATGCTAAATTCTATGGGAGAGGAATTTGCAACAGCCTAAGGAACTGAAATAATATTAGTTTACTAAACAATTTATTATGGAAGTAGAAATTAAATATTTGTCTGAAATGGGTAGTTACTTAACGCTTTTCCTATTGAGCTATAAAATATAAGTGCCTTACAATTCCCTTCCCTCCTATAAACACAAACACTGAATTGGAGTGATTTTGCTGCATTCATCAAGCATTGGTTTTTTGTTTGTTTGTTTGTTTTGAGACAGGGTCTCCCTCTGTTACCCAGGCAGGAGTAATCATGGCCCACTGTAGCCTCAAACTCCTGGGCTCAAGCAATCCTGCTACCTCAGCCTCCCAAGCAGCTGAGACTACAGGCATGTACCCCCATGTGCGGCTGATTTTTATTTGTAGAGATGAGATTTCACTATGTTGCCCACACTGGTCACTGTGTTGCCCACTGAACTCCTGGCCTCAAACGATCCTCCCACATCAGCCTCCCAAAGCACTGGGATTACAGGTGTGAGCCACCATGCCCAGATGATATTTTGTTTTTAAATATCCATGTAAGGCATAAAAGGGTAAATGAGTAGCCTTGAGGGGCAGAGACCTGAGGCCAGTGACTCCAAGCTAAGGCCAGTTGTGAGCACAAAAAAGATCACTGAAGGCCTAGTTCAGTTGGTTCTTCTGGAAGCCTCTGCAGGTGTCCCAGCCTGATCACGCTGACCATGAGAAAAGCCCTTTGTACTGAAAAGGGCTGAAATTCCACAGGCAGAGCAGTTGGGGTGATGCCCTGTCTGAGGCTGTATTTGTTATTGATGCGAGGTTGTTGCTAGACATTCTCAGGGATAACAAATAGGGATTTAGAAGAAATGACTTCATTAGAAAGGAATGCAAAGAGGGAAAGGGAGAAGCACCAAGCATAAGATAAGCAAACATCTCAAAGATTGGGCAGAAAAGTGTTTTTTCTTTCCAACAGAAGAGCAAACAAGGTGGGAGGGGGAGGGCAGGATGGAGAGTGAAAATCACATCCTAGATCAGAGAGTGTTTTACCCTGCCTTCAGCTTGTTCTTCACAGGGTCGTGAAGGAGAGAGACTGTGTGCTGGCTCAGGCTGAGGGTACTTCAGAGTTCAAGGGTCTGGAGGAAGGAGAGAAATTTAAGCAACGTTTACTTTACCGTATATTGTTCAGACTGATTAGTGAAGTCACAGCTGTTTTGGTTATTTATGAGACAAAGAATGAGAATTTGGTCAGTGTTTATCTGGCCTCGTTATAAGTAAAAAATGGGTATAGTCTAAGTATTGTAGAGGTTATTACAATGCATTTGGCTGCTTGTCCAGAATACCCTGGACTGGTTGGTGGGGAAGTTGGAATAATATCTTTAATCATAGCTATTTACTACAATTATAGGGCTTGGATAAAATTCAGCATCAGCAGCAGTTTCATTTTGCATTCACTGACTTGGTTTAATCAGAGTGTAAGTTGCATAAAATGAGAAATTCTGTCAGGAGCCTATTTAGAGAAAAATACTTTTTGGTTCTGCCTGCTGGACAAAGGGTTTATGAATATGAGAGTTTGAGTCTGTGATACAATAAAAACTATATTTGGTCTTTGTCCCTAGTTTTGTTATCCCCAACAAGCTCCTTTCAAAGCCAGGCACGGTGGCTCACACCTGTAATGCCAGCACTTTGGGAGGCCGAGGGGGGCGGATCACTTGAGGTCAGGAGTTTGAGACCAGCCTGGCCAACGTGGTGAAACCCCGTCTCTACTAAAAATACAAAAATTAGCTGGGCTTGGTGTTGCAGGCCTGTACTCCCAGCTACTGGGGAGGCTGAGGCAGGAGAATTGCTTGAACCCAGGAGGCAGAGATTGAAGTAAGCCAAGACTGCACACTGCACTCCAGCCTGGATGACAGAGCAAGATTCCATCTCAAAAAGAAAAAAAAGGCTGGGCACGGTGGCTCACACCTGTAATCCCAGCACTTTGGGAGGCCGAAGCAGGCAGATCACAAGGTCAAGGGTTCGAGACCAGCCTGGCCAAGATAGTGAAACCCTGTCTCTACAAAAAATACAAAAAATTAGCCGGGTATGGTGGTGTGCGCCTGTAATCCCAGCTACTCTGGAGGGTGAGACAGGAGAATCGCATGAACCCGGGAGGCAGAGGCTGCAGTGAGCCGAGATCGCGCCATTGCACTCCAGCCGGGGCAACGAGATCAAAACTCCATCTCAAAACAAAAGAAAAAACAAGCTCCTTTTAGACCTTACCTGGAGTTGTGCTAATGACGTGACTCAGGATGCGGCTACTAGGTAACTTCAGGATCAGGACTGGTGACCTGAAAGAGCAAATGCATGATGACGAGGGTTGAAATTTTAAGCCCCATCTTCTGACCTCAGGAAATGGAGGGTCGAGATTGAGTTGTATAAAAATTATTGAATAAAGACTTTGGGACAGCTTCCCGCTTGGTGAGTGAATGCATTGATGTGCAGGGAGGGTGGTGTCACCCTACAGGGGAAGCTTTGCTCATCTCTCCCCTTTCCTTAGCTGTATACCTCTCTTCCATTTGGCTCTTCTTGAGATATCCTTTATAATAAACTGATAACCCTAAACAAACTGTTTTTGCTGAGTTCCGTGCCTAGTTTTGGAAAATGTGTGAACCTGAGGATGGAGCTGTTGGATATATACACAGTTGGCTGCAAGGGTGGTCTGTGGGGCTTGCAGATGGCACCTGTAATGGAAGCCATGAGCAGTCAGCTTGTGAGTTTGGAGCTAACCCTATCAGAATTGAATTCCTGGACACCCAGCTGGTGTTGGAGAATCAGTTGGTGTTCAGCAGTCTCCACACATTTGTTTTCAGAAGTGGTGTCAGAAAAAAAGGCACCATGGTCATCACCTTAAACTCCTCCAGGAGAGGGAGTAATCCTCGCGAGAATTGAAATCCCGGAGAAAAGAGCATTTCCAGTACGTGAGGAGAGGAGATTAGGGCATGTGGAGCTCCCAGAATGAAATTTCCTAGCTGCTCTGGTTTCCATCACATGCTACCTAGCAGTGTGCCACTGTGGCCTACAGCTCCATCTCCACAGCGACAGTGGAGTAACCTTGTTTTTGTTTTTAAGTTTACTTTTGTTTTTGAGAAGGGGTCTCACTCTGTTGCCCAGGCTACAGTGCATTTCTGTGATCTCAGCCCACTGCAGCCTCGACCTCCCCAGGCTCAAGCGATCCTCTTACGTCAGCCTCCCAAGTAGCTGGAACTACAGGTGTGCACCACCACACCTGGCTAATTTTTGTAGAGACAAGCTTTCACTATGTTGCCCAGGCTGGTCTTGAACTCCTGGGATTAGGCAATTTACCCACCTCAGCCTCCCAAAATGTTAGGATTACAGGTGTGAACCACCACACCCAGCTACTGGACTAACCTTTTGAATGTGGGGAAAGGTAAGCAAATAAACCTTGGCCAATTCTGTTGTACCTCCTTGATCTCATCTCCCTTCTTCTTATTATTATTTATTTATTTTCTTTTTTTTTTTTTTTTTTTTTTTTGTTGAGACGGAGTCTTGCTCTGTCGCCCAGGCTGGAGTGCAGTGGCATAATCTCAGCTCACTGCAAGCTCCGTCTCCCAGGTTCACACCATTCTCCTGCTTCAGCCTCCCCAGTAGCTGAGACTACAGGTGCCCGCCACCACGCCTGGCTTTTTTGTATTTTCAGTAGAGACAGGGTTTCACCGTGTTAGCCAGGATGGTCTCGATCTCCTGACCTCGTGATCCGCCCGCCTCGGCCTCCCAAAGTGCTGGGATTAGAGGCGTGAGCTACTGCGCCTGGCCTCATCTCCCTTCTTCAAGTCTAATATGTGTCTAGTTTGGGTATTAGGGCAATGTTGGCCTTCTAACATGAATTAGAAAGTGTTCCCTCTGCTTCTCTTTACTGGAAGATGATATATAGAACTGCTTTCATTTACTTAGTTCTATTTTTATGATTTTTTTTTTTTTGATTGTGTCTTTCAAAGAATTGATTCATCTTGTAACGTATCAGATCTATGGGCATGGAGTTGTTCTTAATATTCCTTTATGGTTCTTTTAATGTTCGTGGGAATCTTAGAGATGCTCACCCTTTTGTGAGTTAGCATGGGTGTTTATCTATTTTCATCATTTCAGAAAACCAGGATTTGGATTTGTTGATGTTTTCCATTGATTTCCTGTTTGCAATTTCATTAATCTCTCTCTCATTGTTGTTTTCCTCTCCTTAATTTACATTTATCTTGCTCGTCTTTCTCTAGTTTCCTGGAGTGGAATTTAGAGCATTGTTTTTTAGATCTTTACTTTCAAGAGTTTGCATTTAATTATTTAAATAACCCTCTAAACACTGCCTTTGCTGTATTCTACAAATGTTGCTAAAAGTTTTTTTTTCCAATTTTTGGAATGTTTAAGTATCTCTGGAGAATTCTGTCTGTTGCATAGTTTAGAAGTTTGTGGTTTAAATCTTTACTTTCTGGAGGCTTTTAAACTATGCTTCTGTTACTGATTTCTAGTTTAATGCTAATATGGTTTGCTTTCATACTTGATGGGATTTGATTTTTTTAAATTTGTTAAGGTATATTTTATGCTATGTGGTCTGCCTTGGTGAATATTCCATGGTATCCTGTTTTAGCCTCCTGAGTAGCTGGGACTACAGGTGCATGCCACCACACCTGGCTAATTTTTGTATTTTTAGTAGAGACAGGGTTTCACCATGTTGGTTAGGCTGGTCTCAAACTCTTGATCTCAGTTGATCCACCCTCCTTGGCCTCCCAAAGTGCTGGGATTACAGGAATGAGTCACTGTGCCCGGCCTTGCCGTGCGGTTTCATGCGTTTTCGGCTTATGTATTTTGGTGCTGTGTTTTATGGGCATAGATACTAATGTCTTGTATGTCAAGGTAGGATTGACTTCTTTATCATTATAAAACCTTCCATCCCTTGTAATTTTCCTTGATCTAAAACGTGTTTTGGGCCGGGCATGGTGGCTCAGGCCTATAATCCCAGCACTTGGGAGGCCAAGATGGGTGGATCACTTAACCCAGGAGTTCAAGACCAGCTGAGCAACATGGTGAGACCCTGTCTCTACAAAAAATAAAGACAAAAATTACCCAGGCATGGTGGCACACGCCTGTAGTCCCAGTGAGGTGGGAGGATTGCTTGAGCTCAGGAGGCACAGGTTGCAGTGAGCTGTAATCACACCACTGCACCCCAGCCTGGGTGCCAGAGACTCTGTCTCAAAAAAAAAAAACAAAAAAAAAAACCTAATTTATCTGAATTTAATATAGCTGTTCCATACTTTTGATTAGGGCTAGAATGGCATATATTTCTCCGTACTTTTCTATTTAATGTATATGTGTCTTTTTGTTTAAAATGGTTATCTTTCACACATTGCTGGGCCTTCTTTTTTATTCTACTCTGCCAGTGCCTGTCTTTTTTACTGGTGTATATAGATAATACACATTCAGGCTCGGTGCGGTGGCTCACGCCTGTAATCCCAGCACTTTGGAAGGCCGAGGCGGGCAGATCACGAGGTCAGGAGATCGAGACCATCCTGGCTAACACAGTGAAACTCCATCTCTACTAAAAATACAAAAAAAAAAAAAAAAAAATTAGCTGGGCGTGGTGGCGGGTGCCTGTAGTCCCAGCTACTCGGGAGGCTGAAGCAGGAGAATGGCGTGAACCTGGGAGGCGGAGCTTGCAGTGAGCTGAGATCACGCTACTGCACTCCAGCCTGGGCAGAGTGAGACTCCATCTCAAAAAAAAAAAATTCAAAGTGGTAATAGACATAATTAGATTAATATGTTCATATGTATTGTTTGTTGTACCTGTGGTTTTTTCTACTGGCTCTATTTTTCTGCCTTCTTTTGAGCATTCTATATTCCATTTGCTTGCTTCTATTAGTATAGTAAATTTACATTGTTTCTTAAATTGTATTAGTGAATTCCATAGTTTGCAGTTTACATTTTGCAACTAATGGACTTTCGTTTTCAAGTAACACTATACGGGTTTCTGGGGTAGTACCAATATGTTAGTGTTCTGAATTCTTCTTTCCAATCCCATATAACATCCCTGTCAAGCATCTGACCTGTTAGAAGCTATAACCACCCAATACATTGTTGATATTCATTTGAACAAACATTTATCTATGAGGGAGAAGAAAAGAAAGTCATTTTTATGCCTTCATTTAATTGTTTTCTAACAAGTTTTGTTTTGTTTTTGAAACATCTGATTTCCCAACCTGTATGTTTCTTTTGCTCTGAAGAACTTTAACATGACTGGCAAGGCAGGTATACTAGTAACACATTCTCTCAATTTCTTTCCTTTTTTTTTTCCCACAGACTGGTAATTTTTTTTTTTTTTTTTGAGATGGAGTTTCACTCTTGTTGCCCGGGCTGGAGTGCAGTGGCGCAATCTCGGTTCACTGCAACCTCCACCTCCTGGGTTCAAGCAGTTCTTCTGCCTCAGCCTCCCGAGTAGCTGGGATTAGAGGCATGTGCCACCACGCCCGGCTAATTTTGTATTTTTAGTAGAGACAGGTTTCTCCATGTTGGTCAGGCTGGTCTCAAACTCCCGACCTCAGGTGATCCACCGCCCGGGGCCTCCCAAAGTGCTGGGATTACAGGCGTGAGCCACCCTGCCAGGCCCAGACTGGATAATTTTAATTGTTGCATTTTCAGTTGCTGATTCTTTGTTATGTTAGCAAGCAATGAATTGGCTTACTTCCAGATGTACACACAAGCCAATATATTGCATGGCACCAGCTTTTGAAGAAAGAAAAGCTTTACTTACAAGTTTGACTGGCAAGAAGAAAGGAAGAAATGCTCAAATCTATCTCCCTGAACTGGGGGCTTTGCCAAGTTTTATAAGCGTAGGGTAGTAAGACATGAACTCACTGGATCTTGCAGTGATCTGATGCCAGGTTGATGTGACTCGATTAGATCCTGCCATGGGATGATACCAGGATGATACCAGGGCCCAACCTGATTAGATCCTGGATTCTGCCATGTGTTATCTTTTTTTTTTTTTTTTGAGACAGAATCTCACTCTGTAGCCCAAGCTGGAGTGCAGTGGCACGATCTCACTCACTGCAACCCTCACCTCTGGGGCTCAAGCAATTCTCCCGCCTCAGCCTCCCAAGTAGCTGGGACTACAGGCATGCGCCACCACACCCGGTTGTTTTGTATCTTTTGTAGAGACAGGGTTTCACCATGTTGCTCTGAGTGGTCTTGAACTCCTGAGCTCAGGCAGTCCACCCACTTCAGCCTCCCAAAGTGCTGGGATTACAGGTGTGAGCTAACGCGCCCAGCCTGGTATCTCCTTTTACTTTAATCGCCACACCTCAGTCTGAGTATACAGGTTCCACCCATGGTTACACATTTGGTTCATCTGGACATGCTCAGATTATGTGACCTTCAGTGTTGGGTCCATGGCAAATGAAAACTCAACTTCATTATATAGAAGTTGTACCACATAATCTGTCGTAGTTACAAATCCCTTTTATGTCCATTCCTAAATCTTGAAGGAAAAGGAGTGATGACTGCTCTACTTTCTGCTGATTAGAGTCATAGACCTTAGAGGAATGAAAGTATTTAGTGCTTTGCTCTGGGAGTTCCCTGGTATCAGCCGGGCACGGTGGCTCAAGCTGTAATGCCAGCACTTTGGGAGGCTGAGGCGGGTGGATCATGAGGTCAGGAGATTGAGACCATCCTGGCCAACATGGTGAAACCCCATCTCTACTAAAGGACAAAAAATTAGCCGGGCATGGTGGCGCACACCTGTAATTCCAGCTACTCGGGAGGTGGAGGTTGTAGTAAGCCAAGAGCATGCCACTGCACTCTGTTATCAAGATCACATTTTAGAAGGAATAATTTCTACATACTTCTGGGGAAAAGGCATAAGGAGCTTGTAACCAAAATATTTGTTCCAGAGAACAAGGGAAAGCTTAGGATTGGAAATGTAACCCAGGAAGTCTAGACAGGAAGGCTCAGAAATTTGGCTGGTTTTAAGATCTTATATGTTCCCAACTGAGCCTGACTAGAAGATTTACCCAGATGCAGAAGCAAGTGTTACACAGACACAACCTTGTGAAGTAGGGAGATAGTCCCAATGTGGTTGTCTAGGGCTATGTGGGCAAGAGAACCTAAGGACTTCTCTTGTGTCCTGATGGCTTTGGTGATGAAGTGGGCAACTCTACTAATGATACAAGAAAGATTTCTGGGCCAGGCACAGTGGCTCACACCTGTAATCCCAGCACTTTGGGAGGCCGAGGTGGGTGGATCACGAGGTCAGGAGATCGAGACCATCCTGGCTAACACAGTGAAACTCCGTCTCTACTAAAAATACAAAAAATTAACCGGGCGTGGTGGCGGGCGCCTGTAGTCCCAGCTACTCGAGAGGCTGAGGCAGGAGACTGGTGTGAACCTGGGAGGCGGAGCTTGCAGTGAGCCAAGATCGCGCCACTGCACTCCAGCCTGGGCGACAGAGCTAGACTCCGTCTCAAAAAAAAAAAAAAAAAAAAAAAAAAGGTTTGAACAGAAATGAAGGTTTTTCCACATTTCCTACAATCATGGAGTTTCTTTCCAGTGTGAGGCTTTTCACGTGTTTGAAAGGAGTGGCAAAAGCTGAAGGTTTTCACACACTGCTTATGTGGCTTCTGGCTTCTGTGTTCCTGATCCTCATATGATTTGTGTCCAGTGTCAGCTCTGATGCAGCAATTAAGAGATGAATGATCCATGTTGCCTTCTCCACACACACTGCTTTCACATGGTCGCCTTCACTATACCATGTGGAATAAGGCTTAAGATTTCTTCACATTGACCATCTTCTTTACCTTCACAGACTCTCTACCATATGACTGCTGTGAGAAATCAGAAGCACAATACAAAGGGTTGGTTTATAAATGATTTTATGTTCATTAGTAGGTATTTGATTTACATATTTTACATTACGATGGAAAGGGTAGGTTTTCTGGCCTGTCTGAACGGTGTAAATATCAATGGGCCGAATACTCTGCAAGAGGGCTGCATTACACTTATCATCAAAAGAAATTGACTGTGAACATCAATGTTAACACTGGTTCCAAGGCAACTATTTTGAAAACACTGGATTTTTTTTTTTTTTTTTTTTTTTTTTTGAGACGGAGTCTCGCTCTGCCGCCCAGGCTGGAGTGCAGTGGCCGGATCTCAGCTCACTGCAAGCTCCGCCTCCCGGGTTCACGCCATTCTCCTGCCTCAGCCTCCCAAGTAGCTGGGACTACAGGCGCCCGCCACCGCGCCCGGCTAGTTTTTTGTATTTTTTAGTAGAGACGGAGTTTCACCGTGTTAACCAGGATGGTCTCGATCTCCCGACCTCGTGATCCGCCCGTCTCGGCCTCCCAAAGTGCTGGGATTACAGGCTTGAGCCACCGCGCCCGGCCAAAACACTGGATATTTATGTCTTGTGGAAGTATTTTTTTTTTTGGAAAAAATTTTTTTTTGGAGACAGGGTCTCACTCTGTCACCCAGGCTGAAGTGCAGTGGAATGTTCACGATTCATCACCCCCTTGACCTCCTGAGTTCAAGCCATCCTCACTAATAGCTGGGACCTCAGGCACATGCCACCATGCCTGGCTAACTTTTATGTTTTTGTACAGATGGGGTTTCACCATGTTGCCCAGGCTGGTCTTGAACTCCTGGGCTCAAGCAGTCTGCCTCCCTTGACCTCCCAAAGTGCTGGGATGACAGGCGTGAGCCACCATGCCCAGCCTGGAAAAATTTTTCTAAAAATGAATGAATTTGAAGACTGCTTCATTTTCTTTGCTTGCTTTTAAAATTATTTTGTCATTCTAACAATATCTTTTTTTTTCTTTTTTGAGACAGAGTCTCGCTCTGTTACTCAGGCTGGAGTACAGTGGCGCGATCTTGGCTCACTGCAACCTATGCCTCTGGGTTCAAGCCATTCTCCTGCCTCAGCCTCCTGAGCAGCTGGGACTACAGGCACCCGCCACCACGCCTAGCTAATTTTTTGTATTTTTAGTAGAGACAGGGTTTCACCATGTTAACCAGGATGGTCTCGATCACCTGACCTTGTGATCTACCTGCCTCAGCCTCCCAAAGTGCTGGGATTACAGGCATGAGCCACCACACCTGGTCCATTCTAACAATATCTTAAGGGACATAGCTCTAGGTTGTAAGTGCAGTTTACCTTATATTTCTTCTGGAATTCTTGTACAGATCTTCAGTGATCTGGTCTTTACATTTTAGGAATAAAATTTAGACCCATAAAAGTCATAAGTTATTACAAAATTACAGAAAAATTATTAGATTCTATGTTCATGGGACACTGTGGCCATGGCTGATTTATTCACCAAAGTTCAGTTGAACCTTGGCCAACATGGGTTTGAACTGCACAGTCCACTCATGCACGTTTTCATCAGCTCTTGCCATCCCTAAGAGCAAGACCAAGCCCTCCTTTTGCTCAGGTTACTCAATGTGAAGACAAGGAAGAACATCTTGATAATCCACTTTTACTTACTAAAGTCAATATATCTTCTAATTTTTTTGATAACCTTTTCCAAAGAAAAACTTACTTTATTGTAAGAATACAGTACATATAATATACCAAACAGGCTTGGCATGGTAGCTCATGCCTGTAATCCCTGCACTTTGGGATGCTAGGGAGGGGGAAAGCTTGAGGCCAAGAGTTCCAGACCCTCCACCTTACAAAAAAATTGTACAAAAAGTAGCTGGGGATGGTGGCACTCGCCTGTAGACCTAGCAAGTCTATGTCTGAGAGACACTGTCTTAAACATATATATACACACACACTGTCTCAAAAAAAAAAAAAGTCTCAGTCTGTCACCTAGGCTGGAGTGCAGTGGTGTGATCTTGGCTCACTGCAACCTCCCCCTCCCAGGTTCAAGTGATTCTCATGTCTCAGCCTCCCAAGTAGCTGGGATTACAGGTGCCTACCACCACACCCAGCTAATTTTTGTATTTTTAATAGAGATGGGGGGTTCATGATGTTGGCCAGGCTCGTCTCGAACTCCTGACCTCAAGTGATTCACCTGCCTCGGCCTTCCAAAGTGCTGGGATTACAGGCGTGAGCCACTGCGCCCAGCCACACACATTTATTTTTATTTTTATTTTTTTCATACAGGGACTCACTCTGTTGCCCAGGCTAAAGTGTAGTGGTGCAATCATGGTTTACCACAAGCTCAACCTTCCTGATTCAAGCAAACCTTCTGCCTCAGCCTTCTGAATAGCTAGGAACACAGGTGTGCCACCATGCCTGGCTAATTTTTTAATTTTTTATACAGACAGGATTATTACTTCATTGCTATAGCTGGTCTCAAAATCTTGAACTCAAGCAATCCTCCTGCCTCAGCCTCCCAAAAGTACTGGCATTACAGGTGTGAGCCCCCACACCTGGCCATGTATATGTATATAGATATATACCAAACATAAAATATGTGTTATTAGGCTTTGTTATCAATAAAGCTCTGGTCTACAGTAGTCTATTAGTAGTTAACTTTTTAGGGACTCTAAATTCACAGGCATCTGATTGACTGTGTGGACGATCAGAGTCTGTAGCCCCCACCTTGTTCAAGGGTCTACTGTATTGCCTACCATGTTCCAAATCATTGAGCAGTGGAGATGACCAGGAAACACTTGTTCTGTAATTGACTAAGTGAAGAAATGATGTCATCCTTACCTACAGACATCAGGTTCCTGAAGGTTTCCCGCATCACATCTCTGTAGAGATTCTTCTGGGAAGGTCCCAGCAAAGCCCACTCCTCCTGGGTGAAGTTCACAGCCACATCCTCAAAGGTCACTGAGTCCTGAAACATCCCACATGTGCAGAGGAGGAAGGTTCAGACTGACAGCGCTAGGAATCTACACTCACTTTAGAGGAAGTTCACACAATGCTACAGACTCCAAACATTTATTCAATGACTTGGTCAGCCTCTTCTGTCTACACTCACTTTCTCCATCACAGCAATTCTGATACTAGAACTGAATATATTCAGTAAAGTAACAGCCAACAGGGACATGCCTCTCACTGATGATTTCAGAGACTGAGATATGCTCCCTGGATCACCTCTAGTGTGTCTCTGTATAGTGGGTCAGTACAACCTCTCATGAGAGAGTCCCAAACATAACTGCATATTCATACATATTTATTTAGAAAGCTGAACTTTTGATGGTATCTAGGGGCTAGATTTAGGAAGACCTGCACCAACATAACTAACACATGGGGTTGTGTGTTCCTTAACTACTTATGCAAACAATATGGTATTTGCCTAATTCCCATTTTCCCTCATTTTGATATTTTCAGCTGAGGCAGTGTACCTAATCAGCCCTTGCTAGGTGTGAATAATTTCCCCTTCCAAAGCTCATAACAAAATTTGATCCCCAATGTGTCAGTACTGAAAGCAGGGCCTTTAAGAGGTCATGAGGACTGTGCCTCATGAATGGATTAATCCACTGATGAACTGAAGAGGTAATGAATTAATGGGTTATCCTACAAATAAGACTTGTGGCCTTGTAAGAAGAGAAACAGACCAGAGTTAGCACAATCAGCCCCCTTGCCTAGTGATCTCCACTGCCTCAGATAGTAAAGAGCAAGAAGCTTTTACCAGATGTACCCCATTTGCCCTTGGATTTCCAAACTTTGAGAATTGTACAAAATAGGTATTTTTTTTACATATTAACCCAAATTCAGGGGTGTTTTTTGTTTGTTTTGAAACAGTCTTGCTGTGTTGCACAGGCTGGAATGCAGTGGGGCAATCTTGGCTCACTGCAGCCTCAACCTCCCAGTTCAAGTAATTCTCATGCCTCAGCCTCCCAATGAGCTGGGATTACAGGCATGCACCACCATGCCGGCTTTGTTTTTGTATTTCAGTAGAGATGGGGTTCTACCATGTTGGCTGGGCTGTTCACAAACTCCTGGCCTCAAACGATCCACCTGCCTCAGCCTCCCAAAGTGTTGGGATTACAGGCATGAGCCACCATGCCCAGCCAGATTTCAGGTATTCTATTACAACTAACAGAAAACAGAGCCATGAAAAAATACTCTGGGCACAGAGTCTGTAATGAGTGACCCTGGCAGATAACATTTCACGTGTTTCATCACTACACATTATTTGGGGGACAGAGCCCATCCTGTGCGATTACAATAAAAGAGAACATCTGTACAAGAAGTCCTGAAGGGAGTGCTAAATATGGAAAGAAAAGACCATTACCAGCTACCACAAAAGCACACTTAAGTTCACGGACCAGTGACACTATAAAACCACCACACAAACAAGTCTGCATAATAACCAGCTAACAACATGACAGGATCGAGTCTACACATATAAATAAATACTAACCTTGACTGTAAGCAGCCTAAATGCCCCAATTAAAAGGCACAGTGGCAACTTGGATAAAGAAGCAAGATCCAATGGTATGCTGTCTTCAAGAGACCCATCTCACACACAGTGACACCCTTAGGCTCGAAGTAAAGGGATGGAGAAAAATCTACCCTGCAAACAGAAAACAGAAAAAAGCAAAAGGACATGGTTTGGATTTGAATCTCCACCCAAATCTCATGTCAAATTCTAATTCCCAATATTGGAGGTGGGGCCTGGTGGGAGGTGATTGGATGGTGGTACTTCATGAATGGTTTAGCACAATCTCTGTGGGACTGTTCTTGTGATAGTAAGATCTTGTGAGAACGGGTCATTTAAAAGTCTGTGGCACCTTGCCCTGCTCTCTCTTGTTCCTTCTCTGGCCATGTGAAGTGCTGCTCCCCCTTTGCCTTCCACCATGATTGTCAGTTTCCCGAGGCCTCCCCAGAAGCTGAGCAGATGCCATCCTTCCTGTACCATGCTTCCTATACAGTCTGCAGAATCATAGGCCAATTCAACCTCTTTTCTTTATAAATTATCATCCGGTCTCAGGTGTTTCTTTATCACACTGCAAGAATGGAGTAATACAAGAAAATTGGTACTGAGAAGTGGGGCATTGCTATCAAGATATCTGAAAATGTGGAACTGGCTTTGGAACTTCTTAACAGGCAGAGGTTGGAAGAGTGTGGAGGGCTCAGAAGACAACAGGAAGATAAGGGAGTTTGGGACATTCTAGAGGCTTGCTGAATGGTTGTGACCAAAATACTGATAGTGATATAGACAATAAAGTTCACGCTGAGGAAGTCTCAGATGGAAAGGACAATACTTATTAGTATTTATGGGGAATTGAAGCAGAGGTCATTTTTGTTTTTCCTTAGCAAAGAGCTTGGCTGCACTGTGCCTCTGCCCTGGGGATCTGTGGAACTTTTTTTTTTTTTTTTTTGCGACTGAGTGGTGACTCTGTCACCCAGGCTGGAGTGCAGTGGCACAATCTTGGCTCACTGCAGCCTCCGCCTCCTGGGTGCCAGCACTTCTGCCTCAGCCTCCTGGGTAGCTGGGATTACAGCCATGTGCCACCACGCCTAGCTAAGTTTTGAACTTTTAGTAGAGACAGGGTTTTAACCATGTTGGCCAGGCTAGTCGCAAACTTCTGACCTCAGGTGATCCGCCCACCTCAGCCTCCCAAAGTGTTAGGTTACAGGTGTGAGCCACTGTGCCCAGTCAGGATCTGTGGAACTTTTGAACTTAAGAATGATAACTTAGGGTATCTAGTGGAAGAAATTTCAAAGCAGCAAAGCATTCAAGATATGACCTGGCTGCTTCTAACAGCCTATGCTCAAAGAAATGCCACAAAACTGGAACTTCTATTTAAAGGGGAAGCAGAGTAAAAAGTTTAGAAAATTTGCAGCCTGGCCATGTGGTAGAAAAGAAACCACATTTTCAGGGAAGGAATCAGGCAGGCTGTATAAATTTGCATAAGCAAGAAGGAGCCAAGTGTTAACAGCTAAGACACTGGGGAAAAAGCCTTTAAGGTATTTCAGAGACCTTCATGGAAGCCCCTCCCATAACAGGCCCAGAAGCCTAGCAGGGAGGAATGGTTTGTGAGCCAGACCCAGGGCCCCACTGCCCTGCATGGCTTCATGACAACACTACCCTAAATCCCAGCTGCTCCAGATCCAGCCTTGGCTCAAAGGCCCCCAGATACAGCTTGGGCCACTGTATCAGAGGGTGCAAGCCATAAGCCTTGGCGGCTTCCATGTGGTGGTAAGCCTGCAGGTGTGCAGAATGCAAAGGTTGAGGCTTGGGTGCCTCCACCTAGATTTCAGAGGATGTATGGAAAAGCCTGGATGTCCAGGCAGAAGCCTGCTGCAGGGGCAGAGTCCTCATGGAGAACCTGTACCAGGGCAGTATGGGGGAGAAGCGTGGGGTTGGAGCCCCCAGAGTCCCTGCTGGGGTAGTACCTAGTGGAACTTTGAGAAGAGGACCATCTTCCAGACCCCAGAATGGTAGATCTACCAACAGTTGGGACCCTGCACCTGGAAAAGCCACAGGCACTCAATGCTAGCCCATGATAGCAGCTATGGGGCTAAACCCTGCAAAGCCACAGGGGCAAAGGAAGAATTTTCTTATGTAAGAAAGTAAGTACAAAGAAGAGAACTGACAAATTCAACATAATTAAAATTAAGAAGAGTTGGCAGAGCACAGCAGCTCACACCTATAATCCCAGCACTTTGGGAGGCCAAGGTAGGCGGATCACAAGGTCAAGAGATCGAGACCTTCCTGGCCAACATGGTGAAACCCTGTCTCTACTAAAACTACAAAAATTAGCTGGGCATGGTGGTGTGCACCTGTAGTCCCAGCTACTCAGGAGGCTGAGGCAGAAGAATCACTTGAACCCATGAGGCGGAGGTTGCATGAGCTGAGATCACACCACTGCACTCCAGCCTGGTGACAGAGAGAGATCCATCTCAAAAAATTAATAAGAGTCCCTGTATAATGGAGTAAAAAGATAAACCTGGCTGGGCACTGTGACTCACGCCTGTAATCCCAGCACTTTGGGAGGCCAAGGCGGGTGGATCACCTGAGGTCAAGGAGTTTGAGACCAGCCTAACCAACATGCTAAAACCCTGTCTCTACTAAAAAGTACAAAAATTAGCTGGGCATGGTGGCGGGCGCCTGTAATCCCGGCTACTCAGGAGGCTGAGGCAGGAGAATTGCTTGAACCCAGGAGGCGGCAGTTGCCATGAGCTGAGATCACGCCATTGGACTCCAGCCTGGGCAACAAGAGCAAAACTCCATCTCAAAAAAAAAAATTAACATAAAATAAAAAGGATTAGTGTGCAGAGTATGCTAAAATAAAGCAATAAATATACAAATGAATCAAACACAAAAAAATGACTAAAAATTATTTCCCAGAAGATGAAACACTACATAGAACAAATGCTCAACACTAATACTAATCAGTGAAAAGATATAAAATCCCAAGAAGATAAATACTTACAAGATATTAACACACATGCATGAGTGGCCAGACTGTTGTTCCACACACATTATTAGCATTTCCTAGTAAATTTGAATTGATCTAGAATTATAATTATCTGTTATAACAGTCCCCTCCTTTAGACCTATTTAATTTTCTTACATAAGAAAATTCTTCCTACTTTGAAGTCATAAAACCATTTGCCTTCTGAAAATGTTTTACTTTTGTCTTTCTCAAGTGTTATATGTGTTCTCGTTTGATCTTTCAGTGTCTTGCTGGAGACTAGCTATAAAATGTAGCCCTGGGCTAGACATGGTGGCACACACCTGTAATCCCAGCACTTTGGGAGGCCAAGGCAGGTGGATCAGGAGTTCAAGACCAGCCTGGCCAACATGGTGAAACCCCGTGTCTACAAAAAAAAAAAAAATACAAAAATTAGATGGGCATGGTGGCACATGCCTATAATCCC